GATGACAGAGCATTCAAGGTCACATGGCTTGTCAGATGGAGGGTTGGGATGGACCCGGTCTCCAGAGTGTTCCCAAACCTAGTGCCACCTGGGGGAGCCTCCAGCTAAGAACCCCCATTAGCTGAGGTGCCAAGACACTCTGTCTGGAAGGAGGGAGGACCAGAACTGTCTGTGGGACATCTCGCTCTGACTGAAGATTTCAGCTTCTCTCAGGCATTCCCTGTCAACAGCAGCTGCTCACCACAGACCTGTTATGTTTGACCTAGAAGCCCTGTATTGCCTTTCTCTCCCAGATCTAAAGAAGGTGTAAGACAAGGAAATCCTTGCTTTAGGCTCAGAAAGTGGTCTACTTCTGGTACGTAGGAAGTAACGCTCCCTGACATTACAGATGAGCATTGGAGACCAGAAATCGGCTGGGCCGGCAGTTTGCACGCCTCGGGGCACAGCAGAATCCTTGCTAGGGACCTGCCACTCCTGGACACTGGAGCCTCTTGGGAAGCTTTAAAAAGCACTGATCCCCAGAGATTATGATTTAATTATTGTGTGCTGTGGCCTAAATGGAGGGATGTTTGAAAGCGTCCCAGGTGATTGGCAAAGTGTGAGAACCACTGACTAGGGGCTAGATTCAAAAGCTTATTCCCAGGTCCCACCCCTAAGATTCTGATTCAGCAGGTCTGGGGAGGGCCCCAGCAACCACATCCTTAACAAGCCCCAGACCTTACCATTCTGATAAAGGTAGTCCAGGGCCCGCACTTTGAGAAACACTGTCCCAGCCCCTCGCCTGGCCGAGTAGCCCACTGAGGGTAGGTGGCTTGCTGGAGGTCATACAACCATCAAAGCACAGGAAGGAACCTCATGGGTTCCAGCTCCCCCTGAGGCAGATCTTAACCACAACAGGGGCCCAAGCCAGACAGGAAGTCCCTTTGCTCTGCTCCTTTCTTCTGTCTCCGCCCACACAGCCGCATCCAACCCTGCCTGTCCTACCAGCACTGTCTGAGCTCCTATTCTGTGCCAAGTCACGTGCTTACAGGACTCTCTCCCCTAATCCCAGCGCCTGGCACAGCGTCGGCCCACGATAGGCCTCCATCCACTTGCAGCTCTTCATGTTCAAGCCTGAGTAGACCTGAAGTCAGGCATGATGACTTTAGATCCTATGGCATAAGGATGCTCCTCGCAGCCTGTGCTCAGTGGCGGGTGCACACCCACGTGGCCGGTAACCCCACGACAACTCTGAGGACGCCCACGTACTCGGCCAGCGGCTTACCGAGAAGAACGGAGAAGAAGAACTGCACAACGGGGATGTTCAGAATCGGTGCTGACAGGTTCAGGAACCAGTTTGGGGTCATGGGGAAAAGCCTCAAAAACAGTAAGAAGAAAAACAAGCTGTTTCTGTTCTCCTCCACCTGCAGCCAAACAGAACAAGGCCATTCAGAAGGTGAGAGATGGCCCAGGTATTAGAACCTGCCGGTGACAGGTACTGCCCTAGACACTCCACACAGTCTGTCCCCAGCAATTCCAACAACCCCCCCAAGTAGAGACAGTTCCTCATTTTCAAAACTGGGCGACCCAAGGCTCAGAGAAGTCAAGAACTTGGTCAGAGTCACAGAGCTGGTAATGGTGGAGCTGGGATTGGATCCCAGATCTGTGTCTCCTGGAGACATCTAAAGAACCCCTGGGCCCTAAGTTCTTGGTCCGTGAGACACTTCCCAAGCAGGCTGGAGGAGCGCTGTGGGGAGTCCTGCTCCTCACGCCCCTCAGGGCCACCACGGGCTCTCCCAGCACATCACATGCCCCCTCCCCTTACCTTCCTCTGCAGCAGGGCTACTTTCTCAGGGAAGTAGGAGACCACCAGCTGTTTGCCAAAAACGCTGGAGAGCAGGTAGCAGCCCGTGGCGCCCACCGAGGTCAACACACAGCAGAGCAGAAGGCCCAGCCACGGCCCAAACAAGGCGCCGGCTAGAACGTTCTGCGAAGAGAACAAACCGCCAGCCGTGAGAACCGCTGGCAGTCACCGGCCACCAAGTCCTGAAGCCAGAGAGTGGTCTTCCCAGCCACAACCCAACTCCCATCGTAAAGTGGCGAATGACAAGTGATGAAAAGGCTGAGAACTACCGTCTTGGCCTCAGACGCGTCCCCTTCGAAGCAGGGATAAGGATTAAAACCTCAGCATGCAGGCGAAAACTCAACGCGCCCATACACGAACAGTGCCAGCCCATGGCGTGGGGGGCAGCAGGTCCCACAATCACTGGGGCCCCAAGGAGGCAGAAATGAAATTCACAAGTTATTTCTACTATTTCAAACGATGAGCACAAACCACACGTCTTCCCTCTGTAAAGTGACGCCATAGAAAACCTCCTGTCGTGTGCTTTGTGCTGGCATTCCCTCCGTCTGGCACGCTCCGTGTGGACCACAGCTCCAGCGGACACTTCAAGGTTCTCAGACGGACAGAAACGGGACAGTGAATGAATACTTCCTAAAGGCAGACTGTCGGGTAGATGTCACCCTGCCCAACATGGCAACCAAGAAAGAAATGAAAAGGGGGATCTGCTGAGTGCCTACGTCGCTGTTGGTTGCTGTCGAGTTCAATTCCAACTCACGGCGACCCCATGTGTGCAGAGTCGTCCTACTCCATAACGTTTTAAGGCTGTGACCTTTCGGAAGCAGACTGCTGGGCCTGTCTTCCAAGGTGCCTCTGGGTGGGTTCAAACCACCAACCTATCTACTATATGCTAAGGGCTTGCCTGTCTGTCTCATTTAATCCTCCCTACAACCCTGTGGCATGGCTATGACCGTGGCCCCGCTTCACAGGCGAGAGACTGAAGGATCTTGCCCGAGACCGCACAAGGCAGAGCCCATGCACCCGCAGGTCGGGGTGTGCAGCCCCCAGGAGAGGCACTGGCTCTTTGCCCTGGAGCAGGATCGTCTCACGAGGGAAGACGGGGCGCAGGGGGGACCCCCAGCAGTCAGCCCCCAGCCCTATCTCCCTGTCCCTCTCGGTATGGACGTTTGGGTTTTTCTTCCAGCTTCCAACAAAGAAACCGCATCAGCGGATGCAGCCTGATCCCGAGGTGGAGCCAAGAAGCCAGGGCAGGGGAGGGAAGCAGGACAGGAGGAGGCCTTCAGGCACCATCCCCGCGCCGGTCCTCTGCGCCCCCCTTTCAGTGAATCCTCCCATGCCCCATCCTAGGGAGGGAGTGACGCAGGAGGAGTTCCATTTTCAGATGAGGGAACAGGGCTGGAGAAGTTAGGTGGATTGACAATGGCCACACAGCTGGGGTACAAACTCACCTCAAGCCCTAACACAGACATGCAGGTGTGAAACAGCTTAAGGTGCTGCTGGGAGGCGAGCACACAGTCCCCCGTACCCTGACGACTAAGAAGAGGCGGGCGGGTGGCAGAGCGCACGCCCAGGGCCAACGCTGCAGCTCCCGGAGCCAGTGGCTGCCGCCTGGGAAATCAGACTCTCTTGCGCTCTCTGTACCTGGGAGACTTCCAAGCGTCGTCAGCCCGATGTCACCATGAACCACTTTTGTTCATCCACCAGACGCTTACTAAGGCACCTCCCCGGGCCAGGCAAAGGGCTACAAGGGCTGAGCCTAAGGAACAGGCCCTGCCCTCAAGGAACTCACAGACCAGTGGGGAAAACAGATTTAAGAAGAAGAAGAAACAATTAAAAACAGTGCCAAAGCAACCGAAATGTCCACCGACAGACGAACAGATAAAATGGGGTCTGTCCACACGATGGAACGCTCCTCAGCCATAAAGAGAGATGAAGTCCTGACAGACGCCACAACCTGGCTGAGCCCCGAGAGCGTCACGCCGAGTGAGGCAGGCCACACACTGCCGGACCCCACGGACGGGCAACAGGCAAGTGGACAGAGACCAAAGCCTACCCGTGGCTACCAGGAGCCGGAGGTGGGGGAAGGGGGAGTCACTGCTTAGGGGCTCTGAGTTTCTGTTCGTCGAGGTGGAATAATGTGGCGACAGTCACATGACATGACGAATGTGATCACTGTGTCTGAGTTGTACATGTAACAACTGCTGAACGGCAAGTGTTTGTTATACACGTTTTTACCACAATTAAACAAAAGCAGTGCCAAAAGGTAGAACACTGAGAACCCCGAGGACGACGCCCTCACCCAGCCCAGGCGGGGGGCTGTGTGTGTCGAAGACACTTTTCCAAAGCTGTCGATGCCTTAGA